ACACAAATCCTAACTTTATCAAAAAACAATGCTGTTACTAGAAGCATCTTCATCCACATAAGCTTTCTAACCTACTGAAAATACTTCAGTTTGCAATTATATTGAACCCTAGGTAAAACCAACACAATGAAAACGTTGAAAAGTTAAAATACAGCATTTCCCTGTCATAACAGCTGTCCTCAATCTATTCTTTATTTTGACAACAAAGTTAGTTGTTAGCCTGTGTCATTTATTCATGTTAGACTAACCATTCCAAATCTGTCAGAAGTTCTTATAAACCTTTCTATACAAGACAAAGACCCAGCACTTTCTTGCAAACCAAAGCCATTTACTACGTCAAAGTTGATTTACTCATTAACATAAATAAGTCCCTACAGGTAGAAAAAAAAATGTGCCAAATTTTTACTTTTAACTTCTCAAAATTTCTCTAAGCCTACCAAATTAGAATCTGCTAAGTGATGGTACACAGGCCAAGTTAGATATGTAACAATCTCAAGATCCTACTAAGTTACATAGTCGGTTTCAGCTTCCTTTTAAATGCAAAATACTACAGACCTGCTGGCTAACAAGCTAACTTTTTTTTATTCTGTTTCAGTAACCAGGCAACAGACAACTGTCCAACTGAGAATTATCTCTCTGAACAGCTGGCAATTAACACTTGGGATTTTTTGGTGGTTGGTCTCTTTTTTTTAAAAAAAAACTAGTACAAAGATCAGTGATTACTTTAAAAATCTATACAGCTCGAGATTCCACCTCTGATATCTCTACCCGCTATTTAGTAATTTCCTCAGTCCTGTTATCCCTGAAGTTACTCATCTAAGTGTTTACACCAGAATCTAAAAATCTTAGACATACACTTATGTATGTTATATCTAATTAGCTAATGTCAACACTTCCAGAAAAAAAGTAGGATCAAGAAAAAAATGAAATGTATTTATTGATGTTTGACAAAGCCCTTCAAGGAATCAGCAGAACAGACAGCTAGTAACTAAATCCATTCTTGCTTCCAACTCCACTACTATTTTCCATAGCTGAAAAAGCAGTATTTCACTTCAACATTATTTCAAGTGTTGATTTAAAACGTTTCTCTCCTTACTAGATTTTGTTATTTTTAAGAGTTGCAAATTAACATGATAAACTCTATTTCTATGAAGGAAATAAAAATGGAGAGCCAAGCTTGATATATTACACCTTTCTCTTTCCTCGCAATTTATAGGAGTAATGATGCTACAAGATTATTAATTATAAATTCCTGTAACTTTAAGTGTTACTTATACATCCAATGTTTTTGAACGGTCTTTAAGAGTCAGAATAACTGTTTTCAGAAGGGCACTGACAAAGATTAGCTAGACTATATCACATAACACATGAACGATTCAAAGAAATCTGATATTTAAACAGAAAACATCTAAAAACAGAATTCCCTTGGTAAAAGCACAAAACAGCCACACAATACCTCATGCACTGTCTGCATGAGATGGGAGAGCAAACTCCCACCTTTTATAGTGTCCAAAGATTGATATAATTACTGACTAGAAATCTGCTATAAGAACAACACATCTAATATGTTGCTAAAACCAGTAAAACCTTATCCCCCATTTAATTATGCTTTTATTAATCTCTGCTCTTGATGTGATCTAATTTAAGTACACCTACGACATCATATTCCAATAAACTGAAAAACACTGACCAAGTTCAAATTTACTCAAGCACCAAGTTCAGATCAGGCAAGATCCTGTTGCAAGATAAACAACATGATGTGATGTAACATAATTTTGTGCATGTGTGTGCATTTGTGAGAGACCGGGGCGGGAACGCAGAGAGGGAGGGAGAGGGAGAGAGTCTGTGCACGAGAAAGAAACAAGAGAGTGTACGGCAGCGTTCACAAGGGAGAAATATACATGGCCTGAGTGGCTTTGAGTCCCGTGCTCACTAAAATGCAGAATGAGAAACACATAAGCAACGACAACTTCAGACAACAGAAATAGTCTTTCTTCTATTGTTCAAAAAAACCCCACACATTATAATAGCTTTACAGAATAGCCACTTTCTTTATCAAGTTGGCTAAATCTGTATTTAATTTTTGAACCAAAACCTACTAGTCAATGCACACTGTACTTTCTATGCAGAAGGATCAGCACCATTTAGTTTAAAAGTAGGGCATATTTTGCCATTTTTATTTTATTTCTGCTAGTCTTGGGGGACATGCCTGAACAGAAAAGAATCAGAATATCCAAAGTCAAATTGCAGGAGTCCAGATAACAAGAAAAAGTCAGCAGGTAACCTGAAAAGAGAACAATAAATTGCGCACTCAAAAATAAAACTGTAGTGGATAGTAATGTATTTGTATATTGCTTCCTATCTTGTAAACTAAAATGTTCAATGCAAAGCTGTTTTTTCCTTCAATTTCTTGTAATTAGAGCTGCCATATAATTCTTCAGTAATTATGTCACCTTTTGACGCACAAAAATAATTCCAACAGAAATCAGTCTGCATACTGAAGTCCTATATCACAGAGGGAAAAGAAAAAAACACTATTAGATCATAGGAACTATTTGTAACTTCTGTATTACAAGCACCTTCCTCCTTTCCAAACAGGAACTTACTCACTTTTCTAAAACTTTTCAGAAATACAGAAAACTTTCATAGAAGCTTCAATGGCAGAACATTCCACAGCAAAACATACATTAAACATATTTGTAGTCACAAGCATCAGAGGTAAGGACTAAGTAACATCTATTAGGAAAACAGTAATTGTTTAAAAAACTCCATAAGAAAAATAAATCATAACCATCTCAGCTCTTTCACAAGGTTTGTATTCCCTAATGTTATATGAGCAAGAGAGTCTGGAAGAAACCCAAAAGCCATCAGCTCAAGGAATGACAGGACCTCTGAAAATTCCATGGGCTGGTGGTCAGACGCAAACAGAAATACTAACAAGAGCTAGCCACGCTGGAATCCATTTCCCATCCCTGCTCCATGCTTTAGCAGGTATCAGTCACCAACTTCCTGAAAACAATCACTCTCCATACGATACAACGTGCCTGCAAATTCAAGGCAGACTGTATAAAGTCAAACTGGAACTTCATTTGCACCTGTTACTGAGAAAATGTTTGAGTCTCCCTGCCTTAGTTATTTATATTATTGCTGCTGATTTTAAGAGAGAAAATGTTTATGCCACACGTGTTTTTCTCAGGTCATTCTAGCTTGTGATTTTTTTATTTTTCAAAGGTTCTTCTGCTACTACTGCTGCATCTTTACAGTTCCCTACACAAAAAAAAAAAAAAAAAAAAAAAAAGTAATTCTGATTTAATCAGAACACAGAGGAACTATACTGGAGCACTGAACAAAAGATCTAATCTTTGGAGCGTCCTTTCCGAGTGAGTGTAAATAAACTGTAGTAAAATGAAAAGGTTCATAATTTGGTATTTGGAATATTCTTCATAAACACCAATTTTCTGTAACATCCTTGCATATCTGATAACCCCTCATGTATAATGCAGAAGATCTATTTCATTTTCATCTATTGACAGTGAATTTAATTTACTATTGCAGCTCTTTACCCAGATTATGTTATTAATTCTGCAATCAGGCTCTTTAGAATGCTTTATTTCTTCCAAGAGTTTTCACAATTCGACATTGATTTTTTTTATCCTAACATACCTTTCAAAATAAAGAATCATGTTTTTCCTACCTTTCTAAAAAAACCAAAAAAGTAAAAAAAAAAAAAAGCTTCAAAAGCAACAAACACCAGTTCATAAGCTGTAACTTTCAAGAGAAAAAAAAAATCTACATTCAAAACTTCCATCTCTGACTTTTAAGTATTATAAGCTACATTCATTAAGGAGATGTACAACAGGTGCATTAGAATTTCCACTTCAACAATCATATTTGTAAACAGACCAAAATATCTCTGTTAATAAAAAGTTATTCCACTTCTGCCTGACTGTAAAGTCAGAGGACAGGAAAGCTAAATTCTCCAAAGTTAGTGGTCTGCTTACATCCATACCCACTGTCTTTGCTATTTTGTAGAATTCAGTCTTGTTAAAATAGAGCAAATGCAAAGCAGCACTTATTTTCCACAAGAAAAGTCAGCAACAGCTAGGCAACTCAATTCTAAACCACCAGCTACTCTTCAAAAATAACAAAATCAAAACACAAAAGTGTCAGCTATGTTATTTTGCAGCAGTTTTTAGAAAGTCCTCTAGAGCAAAGGTCAATTACAGAATGCTAATCTGTTCATCTTTCAGAAAAATTCCCCAATTATTCAACTGCAGAAGCTAAAATCTTGTCTATCATTATGTAAGACTCTCTCTTCAGAAATCTTATAAAGGAGGAATGCTAATTCAGGTACTTATTACTATTACACTCAAATATTAAAAACAATGTGCACTAATACAGCTAATATAAAATGCAATTCTTTTTATTCATCGAAAGTATTTCAGTTTTATAATAGAGTTTTCTTCCACCATCATGATAAACACAATATAAAGAATATCTAAAGAGCAGCACTTGTCCTCTTCACTTCACTCCAGAGCCAATGAACAAAGCAGTGAAGCAGAAAGAAGGTACATAATGGATTTAAAGTAAATGGCCCATTCTTTACGAGGCAGTCTCTCATTTTTACTCATTCTAGCTTAATTGTCATTATAATGTCTGGAAACTTCAAACGAACAATTATCTTTATGCCACCTGTCACATCGGTTCCTTAAAGCTAGATTTTTTTAAAATAAAAAATAAAGCAGTCAATGTTAATGAAAATAATCTTTTGTAGAAATACTGTAAATTACTTTAAACTTATTTCAAGCAGTTAGCATCCAGCTCAGTCCATTCCATATGCCAAAACAGACAGAATATTTATATTCATAATTGCACTTTGAAACATACTTTTGTGAGACATAACGCTTCCTGCTGCACTTGACCAATATATGAAACACACTGAAATGTACATACATGCCTGAGAACTTCAAAATAAAACAAATGGCTAATTTTGCACCTACCTGGATAAAAATCTTTGGATTTAGACAGCTTGATGGTGGCCCCAGTCTCTTTCTGCAACTGAACAATTGTCTGTCCTCCCTTCCCAATTATAGATCCAGCAGCATAACTAGGTATGAGGACCTTTAGAAAATACTGGCCATCCTCTGAAAAATTGAGATATGCATGGTTAATATGGATTATAAATTGTCATTTTTTCCTCCCCAGACCCACAAATAAACAAAAGGCTACATCTTTAAACTCCTCCACTAATTCATGCATTTACATCTAACCAGTTGCGTCATTATACAAGACACGTTTAGGCTATGCCTTTGACAGTTTAAAATATCTACATTTATTCTAAGCAAAGAACCCACAGAGGTTCCTTAATTCAGTTAAAGAATAATATTGCAATTATATTTCAAAGGTAGATTTTCTTTTTTTTTTTTTCTGCCATGGTAACCACAGCATACAGAAATGATCAGACCCCTTTAGAAGAACTAAAGCCCTGCATGAAAACGTGGTTAGTGACAACTACAACCTTGCTTGGAAATACTGCAAAAGAAATGACAAAACCAGGAAAGAACGAATTGTAAATTCTAATGGGCTATTTGTTTGTCATTAGCAAACACACGAGAACAGCAATTAGCTATTGCTTGCATTCTTCTTAAGTGAGCAAAACGACTACTCTGCTACCAAATAACCCACCCAAAATGTGGGGTTTTATTCCAAGCGTTTCAGCCACTGCCAAGAAAACAACTCAACATGGTGAGGATGGAATCACTTGCCTAAGTAATCCTCATGTATTCCTTTAGCACTTCTTAAGCGACAATGATCTCTTTTAAGCTCATTAATTAAAGGACACTAAGAAGAATTTTTCCCAATTGATCAAAAGCCTAAGTCACTTATTTTAAATACACTTAAAAGGTGACGAGATAGACAATGCCAGTCCTCTAACCACCACTAGCACTAAAGCATACCATCGAAACAGGAAAAAAGATATAGAATGAATGGAGGGGAGAAAGAAAAAAGGATCCCAGTCTGATTTGGCAACTGCAAAATTTTCAGTACCCTCGTGCCACCACTAAATCCAGCTACACTGAAGTCTGAGGACCTCTCCATAACTGTCTCTGAAGAAGTGCAAGGCAACAGGGATACGCTGGTTCCCCAGACTTGTGTTCTCCCCAGCAATTGTGGCAACGTCCCATTGGCACGGATATCAAAATATCATGAAACATGTTTCATAAAGTTGGTTATTTGGAGTTATTTTTACCCCTAAGCAGAAGAAATTATCTAAGTTCACAGTACTTCTCTTCCCTGAGACTATAAAGCGCCTCAGTTAGTGCCTATGTGTGACAGTGGTGCCCACCCGTATTACCATAGCTGGGGAACCATGCACTATGTATAGCCAGACCACTGCTCTCAACATTGGGCAAATAAATTCACCTCTGCCTCGGTGCATTGTTATGACGACTCCAGTGCAAACGGATAAAGGAGATGCTGGTCCCGTTATAACTCATCTCCTCCAGGAACAGCAGGATGTTAACTAGCGAGTCCCCGTAGCCGAGGGGCGACTCCCCCCGCCACCAGCCAGCCCTCGCCCCCGGCTCGGCACGGCAAACACACGCCGTGTACGCGCTGACAATGGAAGTGAGGCCAAGGAGGAGGAAAACGCACGGCAAGGCTGAAATTCAACTTGCGACCCCGAGGATGTGGAAGGAGGGAAGAGCGTTTGCCGTCTCCTTCCAGCTGCCATTTATTGTCGCCCATCCTTAAACGGGCGAGGGAGATAGCTGGGCTGCGGGAGCCCCTTGTGCTCCCTCCTCGCCTCCGTAGGGTCACGGCTGTGCAGCCCCAGCGTGGATATTAAATAAAAAGACTGGTAGATGCTGAAAACCGACGCCATTTTGATGAATGATAACATTAGAGAAATGGGAATCTTTGGGCGGGGCACCGCCCGTGTTGGTCCTCTTGGTGCTGCCGGCTTCAGGGGGGGCTTCAAGCGGTCTTTTCCGGGAGTCCGGCGGGTCCAGGTCTATGGGAACCCCGGTGTGGGTCCCGTTCTGCTGGATGGGAGCTGCCGCCATCATGTTTGCTGCTGCTCGGAGGAGAATTGTCTCTTCCCTTCTCTGGTGGGGGGGCAGGGAGGGAAGGGGGGAGGAGGAGGAGGAGGAGAAGGAAGGGGGTGGAGGAGGAGGAGGAGGGGAGGGGGCTTGTCCCGTTCTCTTGTCCTTTTCGAAAATGTAGAGCTAAGATCGGGATTGTCGAGGATGCTGCGCGCCTTGTTTATCTGGCACCCGGGGGGAGGGAAGGGAAAGGAGGGAGGGAAGCGGGCAGGACTGGACTGGAGGAGCAGCTGCAGTGCAGTGTCAGGAGATGAGGAGAAGGGAGACAGGGGAACGAGGGGGGCGAGAGAGGGAAAAGAAAGGGGGAGAGGAGAGGAGGGGAAAGAATGAAAAGAGTGAGACAGGAGGAGGAGAGGACAGAGTGAGTGGGAGAGGAGAGGAGGGGAGAGAGTGAGTGGGAGAGGAGGGGAGAGAGAACGAGTGAGACAGAATCGGTGGGAAGGGAGGGAGGGAAGAAGGGAGGGGGAGAAGGAGGGAGCGAGCGGTGTAAATGGTGGGCGAGGGAGAGAGTGGGAGATGATTCACGCTGTTTCTGAGCCCCCTTCCGCCCCTGCCCGCCCTAGTGCCGCGCCTGACGCTGCGGCTCAGCTGCCCGCCGCTCCCGGGCTCCCGTGCCCTCCCTCGCTGTCGGGCTCATGTGCACGGGGGTGGAGAGGGGGATCGCTGCCGGGGTGGCGCGCCGCTGCTCGGCTCTAGCCCCGGCACCGCGGGCGCCTGGCTGGGGGCTGGGGCCGCCACCCTCAGCTGCACCGCAGAAACCCTAAAGGCAGGATAGGTTAGAACCATGGGAGGGGGCACAAGGACGGGGGTGTACGAGGGCAGGCGGG